TGGGTGGTGGGGTGGGGGTGGTGGTGGTGGTACATGTGCGCGTGTGTGTGTGTGTGTGTGTGTGTGTGTGTGTTATGGTGGGGGGGTAGTAACTTTGCTATAAGATCAGTTACAGTGAAATTCTAGCAGGATCTCAGACAAGGGCATTTACTTCAGCGTTAGTTATATTTTATACATAAATTGCAAGCTTTAACAGCAACCTAAATGCCTACCAAGGAACCAGTAAATTTTGGTTCAGTCATATGGTAAAATTCACTTGAAATGGAAATCACTGATGCAGATGAAAATGAGCAAAGTTTTGCATAAAGGGAAAAAAAAAAAAACCCTGCAGATGTTTTGATTCAGCTATAGGCTAATCAAGGTAACAAATATCAAGAACAATTGTAAAGGCCCTGAAAGGTTTGTTCAGCCCCAACGCAGCCAACAGTCAGACCACAGCCTTAAAGAGAGCAGCCACATGTTTAAACAAAGATATTTCCTTATAATAGACTTTTAAGCTCCTAAATTCTTGCTTTCCTTGCACACATATTGTGCTGCCACAGAGATAACTATCCCCTCAGTTCAGGTATTCATATCCTATTTTGTTAGTATGTTAGAAAATGATCACGTACTCAGGGAAAACAAATGTTTTGTTACTCTGACATGCCTGTTTTAATATGACTTTTTTTTTCCTACTGAGAATAGCCTGCCTGTTCCTACAATATACAAGCTAGATCTCACGTTTGGTGGATGAGGAAAGCAGCTGGCTGGGGCATTCTTCTTACCAGACTGCCTGCTTTTCTCCAAGTTAACCCTCAACCTTGACTCTGAAAGTGAAATTTTCCTTTCCTCCATATAGCAGTGATTATTTTTCTAGTTAATACCTAGTTTACAACAACTTGACAAATGAGAAAGTAAAATTCAAAGATCCACAAATATAAATACACAGAAGCACAGACACAGAAAATGGAACTAATTACATGAAAATATACTAAAATGTTAATGTTGGTAATGAGTCTACTATGATTTTCTTTATATCTATTGGACCATGTTTCTCTAAATTCCTTATAAGTATTCAACATTCTAACAACTGCACAAAAATGCCCACATTAGGTTGTTTAGTAACTCTACATTGTGCTTCCAGTCTGCCTACAATGCTCCTTCCCACCTTACTCCTGAGCCTAATTGCCCTCTCTGCACAGCTCCAGGCTCTGCTGGAAATCTCCAACTCATCCTTCCACCAATAAGCACCACAAGACTAAAACTGAAAATCAGTAAGCAGAGCTTGTGTCCCATGTTCCAGTACAAAATCTGTAAATGTTGGATCACAAAGCACAAACAATAAAATGGGTGAATAATTCAAGCAAATTCAGAATAATGATAACCCAAAGAGAAAAGAGACATATATTGTTTCGATTGTAACCAGTAATGAAAGTTTCTTGAGCTAAGTGGCACTGACTGTATTATTGATTCTTCCTATGGTTTTTCATATAAACCATCATCTAATAAATAGTTTATTATAATAAGGTATTCAAAAATCACTGTATTATTTGCACTATCATTTTTTTCAAAAGAGTGATGAGTGTAATAAAAACTTTTTTAGTGCTTAGATCATAAGCCATGAATCTCTTGTCAATTTATGGATCACACTCATTGATGTCAACCACATCTGTCCACTGTCAGAATGACCTGTTTGCTGGTGTTCATACCCTGATAGGTCCACTGGTGAGACAGGTCCAGTCAGACAGCATGACAAGTGGATAGGCCACCTCACAGGTGTTCAGAGCCTTTTCATTTCTATTTTCCAGGAGAGGTGGTTACACATGTCTAGAGGTGCCAACCTTTCACTGTCACCTCCTACTAGCCTGCCCTCTTTATAGCACAGTCACACCCTGGAAGAGGTGCAACTGGCCCTTGTCATCAGGCAGTATCTTCCTCTGTCTTGCAGTAATAAACCACACTTAACCAAGATGGCCATCAGTAGCAATTGAAACTGCCATCCCTCTGGGAGGTGATGTTACCCAAACCTCACATGTGATAGCAGTGGGAGTTACAGGCATAAAGGCAGGAGGAAGTAACAGAGAACACAGGGCCCTTTACATCTCCTGATGTGCCACTTTCTTTAACATTGTTTCTACTTATTTTAACTTTTCTGATTTTTTTTTTTAAATTTTAAAAAAATATTTATTTTTTATTTATACAAGTGCTGGGGTACAGGCCAGATGCCTGGGAGGGTGAGAGAATTCACCAGAGACAGAGCGGGGAACAGAACAGGCAGATTGATGAAACACACTGCTCAGGGGAGCAGTGGGCAAGACAGGAGAGGTCTGTCGCACCATGTGGGATTCTCGCCAGCTGGCCGGGGATGGAACCTGTGCTGCAGAGGCTGCGGTCAGCTTCACAGTGTGGCGCTCAACTGCCTGCACCACCAGGGAGGCCCAACTTTTCTAGTTTTCAAAGAACACAACTATTAAGCTATTAAGCCAGGAAAGGATATCAAACAATCCAATTTTGGAAATTGGCAAACTCACCATAATACAGGGAAAGGAAAGGCAAGAAGTGCTATGATGAGTTAGAAAGCCCAACTCAGAGATGGCGGTGTTGGGGGACATCCTGAAGACCAACTCACATGCTCAAGTCCACCCAAAATCACACTTACATCCCTCATCTTCCTGGGATTCTAAGGCACAAATTGCCAAGGGTGACAGGTAAATGCTTTGAATTACCTCCCTATACAAGTCTGTCTGCATACTCTGAATCGCTATAATAAAGCCTCCTCATAATCTGATGATTAACATCAACTCGAATGGAGAACTGTTACACTAAATTATATGGAGAATTGGGTCACTGAATATTTATACCTAAAACCACTTCAGACAATATGCCAATCTTAAATCAAACGCAAGTCCCTAAAGAAACCAGAACCCACACCAGGCCATGGGATTATCCATGGGCCATTGGGAATCAAAATAAATGTCTACAAATGAGCAAGGGTTTTAATTGTCAAGAGTGTTATGTTTCAAACATGTCAAGTGACCGAGCTGGTCCCAGGACATGAAATGCTTTGAGGTTTTGAAGAAAGGCATAGTTTCTTTTCCTCTAGAGTGTTTTCAGAGGAAGATGTCTTCACCCCACTCAAGGGACCACAGAAAGGGGTCCCGAATGGGAGGCGAGTAGGTGTTTATATGGATACAGTGAGAAAGGAGTGAGGGGGTTTCTGCCACTTGGTGTCGCTGTGTTGTGTCTCTTGCTGCTGATTGGATGAAGCCCATGGAGTCTCCTAGGTTACTGAGGCCCACTGGGTCTCCCAGGTTACCTGGTCCGTTTCCCAGAATGAGCTTTGGTCTGTTGCTTTGGTACTGTTTGGGGGTTTTTTGAACACTCGGTTTTTACTGAGTTGAGGCACCCTGACTCTACCCAATTGTTCTTCATTCCGTTTGATAAATGTGTTTGGGGCATCTGGGGTTGGGTTACCTGGGCTTGAGGGGCTCTCTCCTGCCTCCAACTGACTGTTCCTCATTCGGTTTGAGAAATGGCCTTGAGGCACCCTGACCCTGACTGCCTATACCCATTTCCTAACTTCCTCATTCAGCAGGACTCCTTGTGGGCAGCTCCCTGCCCTGCTGGGTTGTTTGGGGGGTAATTTCTAAGGACTTGAGGGATAAAAATATCCTGGGAGAGGCTTTCTAGGAAGTCACACCCCAGAGGTCTGAGCAGAGATTCTAGAACCAGCCAGAGACCAAGGAAGACCTTGATGAACAGACTTAGAGTTTCAGAGATCATTACCTGATAACACCTCAACGCAAGTGGCCAAAGAGGAGCCAAGAAGAATGGGCTGGAAGCAGTTTTCTTTATAAGTACTACTTCTTGGGGGAGGGTGAGGAGGAGGGAAACAAGTCTGTTCTTATCCTTTTAATCCCAGATTCATTTGCAATTGTTCTGGCACATATGTTTAATGTATCAGACAACACAAACCAACTGGAACTTCATCCCTACACAATGCCCATGTGGTTTCCTGCCAATCAGCCACACTGTGTCAAAGAAACTGAACTATAGGCTACAAGTGGGTTCTGCACCTCCTGGCACTCTTGAGAAGAGCCTGACACAGCACACTCTGTCTATTCATAAACAGCAGGGCCATAGCTCTGGTCCAGGTGGCTGGGACGAGCTGGTTCAGACCAATGATTCCTACATAGAGACACCACCAACAAGACTATTCATCCCTCTCGGAGGCCTCTATGAATTAGAACTGGCATGTAATTATTATGGCAAAAGAGCTGGGCTCCTGACTTTTGTTTATGGAATGGGGTGACCTTGAGTTGTCTCCTGAGGCACACACAAGAGCAGTTCCAGCCTGAGCATAGTAGAGTCTGTCTCTCCCATAGAACCACTGCCAGTTAAAGTGGGGATAGAAAACCCTTCCCACATTCCTAGAAGTAGAGCTGCTATCACTTGGCTCTAAAAGAAGTAAGCCAGGTTTTGGAAGCTGATAAATAAAAGCTAATACATGAATGGCTGGGTGGGGTGGGGTAGGGTGGAACAGGAACAAGAACGCTGGGACAACATGAAGTGTAGCCATCTACCAGCAGCAGCTCCTGGGAGCTTGCAGAACTGCCCAACCTATTAAAGCCAACTCCCTGGGGGTTGGGAGCCGAGTAACATGCCCCGAACAAGTTCTTCAGGTATCTCAGACACTGAAGTTAGAGAGGCTGTGTCTAGTCTACTCTCTTAGAAAAGAGGACTGAAGCTTTACACAACATTTCCAGTCAAGTCCTAACACTCAAGGAGTAAGTGGCCATCCCTCTTTTCAATAAACTGGAAAATAGTACCGCAACACGTAAACAAAGATATGGACTATGGCCACGTTCAGTGACAGTAGAAATGACAGTATCTCAGGACAGAATGGGACCTTACAGCTGCACCTTTCTCAGCAGTTCCATCCCAACCTCCTGCCCTCCCTCCTCAGCCAACTCAGAATCTGGGCAGAGGGCTGCCCCTCCTCCCCACTTCAATTAACTCACCACAGCCTGAAGGAAAAACACTCAGTGAGGAAGACTCCTAATTTCCATAATCCCCATAATCACAGAGGCTCTTGGTTCTCAGGTCAGCAGACAAGGAGGTAGTGAAAGCTCCCCAGGCTGTGAAGGAGTCCTCTTCTCACACCAAGAAGAGGCCCTCACCGAGCCCAGCCTGTGTGTCAGGCCTGAGACTGCACTCTTGGGTGGGAAGAAGGACTCTCTGACTTAAACACTGCATGGCTGAGACAGGAAAAGGAAACGCCCACAAATTAAAAAGTACACTCTATTTTAGCTTTAAACACACATTTCTCTCACAGACAGCAATGTCCAAAATAGCACATCCTATTTTAAGGAGATCAAAGGCAGCTCCTAAATGGGCCACAAAATTAATCCATAGTTTAGAAGATTAGGACTGTGTAATAAAGTTTAGGGGTTACAGGGTGTGTAGATGGTGTTTAACCCCCTCCCACCCCAAGCCCATTTAAGGGCCATGAAATTGAGGTTGAAATGGCTGTTCCAGTCCTCCTGAATCAAATTCTCTCCTCTCTGTTTCTTATCTCTCCTATAAGCCTGTCCTCCCACACCAGAACAGGCCATCCAAGCCAGCAGGCCCCTCAGCTTCTTTTCCCTCATCCAACTGTGGTTTCTGGAGCACCACACCAGGGAGAGGTACAAGAGAGTAGTGGGGAGTAGAGAGAGAAAGTCCCCGTCCTGAGCTTTGGGCTTAGGGACAGTGACTACCATGGTCTTATTCTCTCAACAAAGGAGAGCAGTTCCTACAAAACCGGTATCTCCGGGAGACGTAAGGCAGGGAGGAGAGGTGATGCCCAACCAAAATGGCACGATACACTGAAGTAGAGTCTTTGGCTCATCCTCTTGTTAGAAGAATTACCATTTCCAGGTGACAGTTTATGAGGGATGAGGGAAGCTACTTTGTTAAAGAGAACTCAGATGAAAGTGGACCCCGCTTCTCTCTAGAGCAGGAAGAGGTCTCCAGGAGCCCTCGCCTGGGCCCCATTCGCAGCAGAGCTCCTGCTGCAGTGGCTCCTTCCCCACACTCACACCAAGAGCTGGGCCCCAGTACTGAGGAGACGGCCCACCTGACTACAGGTTGGGGACAGGACCCCTCGGGGGAGAAGGTGTCCTTCTCTCCAAAGCAAAGGGTTCAACTCATGGCAAGAATCCCTGCTCTGAGAAGCTCCTGGACTTGAACTCTCCTGAGTCTCCTGAGGGCAGACAAACAGCAGGACACACTCAACATGGAGCTGTCTCAGCTGACTGAGCATCCAGTCAGGTGCTAGTCCCAGAGAAGCCTCTCCAGGTAAGTGCAGTTGGTGCAGGTGTGTGCCAACTTACCTGGGGTCACTTAGCACTAAAGAAGCAAAATTCAACTTCTAGAACTTTCAAAACTTAAAAAAAAAAACAAAACCCTATAATATAAATCTTCATTATCCTACACACCTACTTTAATTAAATTCTTTAAAATAGTTTTTTTTTTTTTTTTTAATTTTGTTTATTTATTCATACAAGCACTGGGTACAGTCAGAAGCGCGGGAGGGTGAGAGAATTCACCAGAGCCAGAGAGGGGAGCAGAGCAGGCAGAAGGACCGTAGCACACCGCTAAGGGGAGCAGCGGGCGGCAGGAGAGGTCTGCACGCCATGTGGGACCCTCCTCCAGTGGCCGGGGAGCAGCCAGGGATTGAACCGACACTGCAGAGGCTGCAGGCAGCTTCACAACCCAGCGCTCAACCGCTGCGCCACGGGAGAGGCCCCTTTAAAATAGTTTTGATATAGAAATTTTTTTTCAGCTGGTAAATCTGACTCATTTTATTAAGAAGAGATGTGGGCAAAATCTCATTACAAAAAAGTCTCATTACCACAAAGCTATTTGGAGTTGATTTTAGTAAGATTCTGCCATCAATCTGGACAACCTGTGGGTGGATTAAACATTTGTGTATTAGGCTTGGTAAACAGCGCAAGGATAGTATATTTGTGGAAAAGAAATAAAAAGCATTATAACTGTACTCCATACCATTATCTGGAGTTACTGGCAACTATGGGAGGCATACAGAGTCCCCTACAGAGGCCTGTTTTTCCCACTAAAGGGAGAGCTGCTCCTCTGCTCCCCCTGCCCCATCCCAGATGCTGAATGGAGGGAGGGAGAGTGGGCTGCTAAGCTCTACCCCTTGCCCCAAACACAGCAGGCCATTACAGCCATTTTGGGTCATAGGATGTAATACTAATGGCCTATAGCATAAAAAGTAAGTATATGTAAAAATGCAGCGCAATGCTTAATTTTACATGTAATTTTAACCACATTAAACTTGTTTTGGTCCTTCTTTGGACCAAAGTCCTTCTAGCAAGGACGTGCTGACCCATCTACCTTTCCCAAGCTTAGTTAAGTATCACACCCACAGACTATTTCCTTAAAGTTCACAAATGTGTACTCTCCAGGCATTTGCTCAGCTCGTCCCCTCCCCTTGGATTGCCCTTCTTGCTCTTCCCCTGGTGGGCTTGGGCTTGACAATTTCTACTCCGCGACCATTTTAACTAGTAATCCTCTGTGAAACTTCTCCCAGACAGAAATAAATACCCCCTGCTCTTTATGACACAGTACTCACTCTAGCCATAAATAAGAAATAATCTTTAGCATACTATAAATTCTCATCTCCCGTGAGCTCCTTAAGGGGAAGCACTGAGCCATCTTCATCTTTACTCCTTCAGTGCCGAGCACAAAGCTGGTTGACTGAAGGAGCCCCAAATAAGAATTTATTAAATGCCTAAATGATAGACAAACATAAATTTTACATCCCTGATGCCTAGATGGATAGGGTACATTAAAAAATTTGAAAATGTATTTTTATCAATGAAACAGATTTTTTTTCAAAAAGGCATGACTATAAAATAATGGAAGTGGTTTTTCTGTACCTCACTTTGCCTGATGCTGATGGCAATGTGCAAGAGAGGCTGTGAACTGTTGGGGAGATTGCAGCAAAGTATCAGGTGACAGCAGCCTGGGTGAAAAGGGTCTGAGCTTCCCAGGGCTTCACAGAACACAAGAAGGGAAAGACCTAAAGTCAGGAATCTGGTGTAAGTCCTGTCTGTCACTCACAAGTCAAGAGACCCTGGTAGCCACTTCAACACTCTGACAATCAACATGATGTCTGTGCTGTTAAGGGTCAGCCGGTACCAGTCAGGGCTCATCTCATCCCAGGCCTTTCAGAGTGCAGAGCACTTAGGTCTCCAAGGCATTTCCATGTTACAAAAAACAATACAAGAAAACAAACCTCCACTCCAACAATTCTTGTGTAGTCCTACTTACACTGACAAACCAAGAAACCCTCCATGGATCTCACTAAGCACCCAAAAGACTGGGAGGGAGCTCTCATCTGCTGCACCATGGACACCAAAATCCACCTGGCAGTGGGTTGATCTTGGAACTGGCAAGGTAATATTAGATACTACTAAAATAAAAAGGGAAAAACAGGAGACTGAAATAAAAAACACAAGCGATTTCATAACCCTGTGTATGCGGCTTTCCAAGTTTCCATAGTGAAACTTCATGCACATTTCAGAAGGAAGAGGATATGCAAGCACACATATTCATGTGTTTAGAGACAGACTCCCTAGGGAGGATACATAAAAATGCTGGGCCAGCTGATTGTCTCCAGAGAGGGCAATTGGAAAACAAGATAGGAGCCATGGTTTTTCTCTTATATCCTTTTGTAATTTTTGAATGATACCACAGGCAATACTGTATGTATGTATGTAATGTACCTATATATAGAATATAACTATGTAACATATGTCACAGTCTCAAGTTTTAAAAATGTCCTACAGTGAATACATTTTATCTTTCCTGATCATATGTGTTAACCAAGCATGTTTTCATTCAGCTCCCTGCAGAAGGAGGAAGTCAAGATACCTTAAGCCGCAGATAAGCTTTATAACACTGTATATGACCTTGGGCCGGCATTTAACAAAAATGTCACTTCTAGTTTCTGAGAAACATGTAAAATCCATGACTCTCTGTCCCCAGGGTGGACTCGACAGAAGAGCAGGCATAAAGCACCCCACCCACTGTGCAAATAGGAGCTAGTGTACCTTCAGGACTGAGACAGACAGACAGAAGAACAAAGGCATGGGCAAACACGGAAGGTGGAAGGTCAGCAGGCCAGGAGTAAGGGTATTCCAAATTGTAGTTGCCAGGTGTCACAGACACACACCAACTCACCAATGCTCAGGAGGCACTACACAGCCCTATGGCCACTGCCCGCCCAGGTGAGGTGGCTGACCATGCCACAGACTTCCAAATGCACCCCATCATGGCCAGTGTCCAGAGCTTACAGTAGAGTGGGAGCCAACCACTCAACTGTCATCTTCAGGCGGTGCTCGAGGACAAGGGGTCATGAGTCCAAGAGATATCTTGGGGGGAGGAACACACCTGTGCTTGCTCCGCCACACAGTCCAGCTCTCCCCACCCACACCACCTGGTCCAGAGTTGAGCTCCTTGAAATCCAGGATCATGACAAGGCCTCTGAAAAATCTCAAGAACTCAAAGGAGAGGAAAAAGGAAAAATCAGAGAAGTCTTTGTGGAAGCTACATATCCTATGTGAGATAGCTGGTCTGATAGAGACCAGGCCAGATGGGTTAACATTACAGCTTGACCCCACATGTTTAAGAGGAGCATGGTTTTAATGTCATTAAGAAGGCTTTGTGGCTATAAATCCTAAACTCAATGAAGATAACTAATCTCTGTCATCAAAAAGAAAGCAGCATTCCCTGAAGTTGCCCCCTCCCCCACTGTCATCCTGCCAAATACTTGGTTGCAGGATACACCCAGTCACTCACAGGATACCTGCTGCAAACACGCCACTCCCTATTGAAGAGGATCTGAGAAGAGCTGCCTGGGATGGGGACTGTGAGGGTCCCATTTTGTGCCAACATCATGGTTCTAAAGCACCCAGGGAGCACATCCAAGCCACCATGGCAGAGAGTGCTGGGGAAAGCTGGGGAGGGGCAGGAGACTCACAAATTTAAATGTGTTGTCAGGATGGGTCTTATAAGAAGGTGAAATCTGAGCAACAAAGAAGCTATGAAAACAAGAAAGTCATGTGGGAGATGCCAGGCAGGTAAGCAAGCCAGGGCACTCAGCCTGAGACCAGAGCAAGGACAGTAAGAGGTGGGAGTGGGAGGGATGTGATGTGGGGTCCTGTGACTATAACACATGAGAAGCTGGAGGGTTCTGAGCAGATAAGTGAGCCAATTTAATTTTGCTCTGAAAAGCTCCCTCCAGCTGTTCTGTTAGAAAGAGAGTGGCCAGGGTCAAGGGCAGCAGCAGGGAGACCACGTGCATTGCAGACAATGTGGGAATCAAGGCTAACGGTGAGGCCATAAAGAAAGGGCGTGTGTGTGTGTCTGTGTGTGTGTGTGTCTGTGTGCGTGTGTCTGTGTGCGTGTGTCTGTGTGTGTGTGTGTCCTGAAGATGGAGCCAGCAGGATTTCCTGATGGGAACTGAAGAGCTGTCAAGGAAGATTCTGAGGTCTCACTGAGCACCTTGGTGATAGAAGGTGTGTGTATTCATTTGCTGAGGTGAGGATGCAGGAATGGGTAAGGGGTATGAGCACACATCCAATTTTGGACATGTTAGGTCAAAGATTGCTTATTATCAAGAAGACAATGAATATAAAGGCCTGGAGTTCAGGGACGAAGTCGGGACTAGAGACGTCTATTTAGGAGTTGTCAGTTTAAAGAACCAGAATAGACGACACCACCAAAGAAGGGAGTAGAAAAAGAAGAAGTTGCAGAACTGGCTCCAAGTCTGCAAAGACTGGGAGAGGAAAGAACCACGGTGACCAAGGAACTGCCATGGTGACCTCTCCCAGCCTGGTTCCTTACTACTGACGATATGGGTAGGCCCCAAACCCAATCATAAAGTAACCTTATAAGGAGGTGGCAGAGAGAGATTTCAGTTTAAGAGAAGGCCAAGTAACAGAAGCAGAGTCTCAGAGAAGAT